AAGTTTTGGATTCATTAGGGGATACCATGACATGCTTTCATAGTGCTTAACAGCCAGCCAGCCTGCATGTATCTACTGAGGAGTCTAAAAGGGTCCTGATGAAAAGTATATACGTACTGTGGGAAATTCTTAGGGGGGAAAATCATCTGCAGCACTAGAGACTGCCTTGGGACACCTTATGTCTTTCTGTCTCCTTTTGTTTTTACTTTTCCTCCAAAGTGACTTCCATTGTTAGAGTCATTGCATGCCATCAGCTATGCACCCTGCCAATAAATCTTAGTGAACCTGTCTCAGAATCCTTTATGCAGCCTAGGTAGCTTGTATGCACTTAAGTTCTAGACAAAAGTTGTAATGAACTACATTAATGCCTGTGTGTTCTCCAGGGAAAGCTGGCGACTGAGGTGGGAAGAAAGGCCAGATTACATTGGTAAAAGTGTATTTAAGTTTGGTATTAGAACACCTGGAAGCTGGGCATGTTTTTGATTTCAGTGGAGGATGTCCCTTCTTTCTCCCCCACCATCAAAGGCAAAATAGTTCTCTAGCTTTTTTTTTGCTTCTACAGTCCTCTAAAAACTTCCTTGCCTCCACTCCTGAAAGACCCAAATCTAAGCAGTTAATGAATTTCTGATCTCTTTTCTTCCTCAGAGTAATCTATAATGAAGTGATGTCCATTCTGTAGCCAAACTGCAATTAAGCCTGAGCATTCAGGGAGGTTTGAAAGCAGGCCAGTGGTGTTTTTGTGGTGGAGGGAAACATTTTCACTGTCTAGTCACAGACTATATCCTAAAAAAAATTATATATTTCTTGCAAGTAGACCAGGAAAAGTAAAAGGCTGCAACTGCTCCTAAATAATTTATTAAAATGATCTATGTCTTTTCAGATGTGACCGTCTAACTCTTTCTGATTTGATTACCTTTGTGTTCCATGCTTAGCTCAGGTAGATAGTGACCCTTTCCATGTGCTGTGATTTTTAAATGCATGGGTTTTAGCTTGAGAAATTAAGTTCTTCACATCCAAATTTTTCCAAGGTGGCTGGAGGTTTTTTTAAAAAGCAGTTTGTATTAGTGCAAAGATTTCATTACTACATAGGCCTTTCTTGAGCACTTGTGAGATGATATGAAAAAAATAGTAATGATTCTGAAGTGTCTTCCCTGTTGCGATTGTTTGTATGAATATGTTATTTCTGTGCATAACAGTTTCATTTGAATAAAAAGCAGCAAGCCAAACGTTAAACAAAAACGAGGCAAAAAAACTTCATTGCCCATTAGAGGCTAAGTTAATAGTACTTGATGTCTTCAGAACCGCAATTTGGAATTTAATCAGAACATCTCTGTTTTCTTGTACGTAAACCTTTTCAGAATGTTGTGATTATTTCAGCCTAGAGCCTCCCATATGTATGTCTGGGATTATACTTCAGCAATTTTTCCAAAGTTCTAATTATAACCATACAATAAGCATCTTGATGGCTCTTTTTTAAAGTCATTTTACAATGCAGTTCTCACTGCTGAAACCAACTTCATGCAGTGTTTCTTTCTCTCAGGTACGGAACAGAGTAAGAACAGTTTTCAGTATTTAATTCCTGTGGAGAATAATTACAGGAGTAGAGGGGATTATTAAATTGTTGCCAATTGTTTAAAAAAAATAAAATTAGCGCTCAGGCTTGCTGAACACTGCATTCACTAGTAAACTAAGTATGTGGATGTTCAGCACGTTTGCTGTCTTTCAGAATGTTAGGTGATATAGCAAGCAAATGGCAATGCATGCCAATTTTGGGCATTGTGTGTGTGGTGACAGATACTGCACCCTGTGCATAAATCTCCTAAAGGTAGCATGTTAAATCAGTATGTAACTGAAATAAAGGTTAGGAAAGTTATGATGAAATGGGTACAGTAAAGTAGTAGACTTGTATATGAACTAGGGTGAGTATCAGAAAGAAAACTGTTAGGGATTTAAAGTTTGCAGAAATAAGACTGTTAACCCATTAGGTTTACTTTTCCATCTATCTTGAGATTAATTCTTCTGTTGCATCTTGTGAGAAGAATGAAATGGTTTTATAGTGGTTTTGTTAAGTGAATTTTTAGTGCTGAATATATGTATATTTATACTTGTATAAAATTTTGTATTTAGCCAGGAAAGGATAACACTTAAAAGTCAGTGCAGGGTTTTAATTGTAATGTTTATAGCAGGGAAGTAAAGTATCACTGAGGGGTTAATTTTATGTTAGTGCAGAGCACGACTTAAATATAGTAAGCATGCATTTTTTTTTTCTGCTTTGTTGGCTTGTCTTTTGCTGGTGGCAAGACCAGGTCCAACATTCATGACCTGTCCTGCTTTTACAAACAATTCAGTTTTGAATAGCTTATTTTAAGAGACATTTTAGATTTTAAATAAAAATTCCTT